AGATTTTTTTTTTTTTTTTTCCTCCTCTCTCTCTCTTTACAAACCACAAACGGATGTGAGGCAGGGAAGGTGTTTCTTTGACTACTGAAGTCAGGCACCTCTTTTTTTATTCTTCTCAGTCTTCTTGTGTGTCCCCCTCTCCCCTCGCACCCGCTCGCACACACACTCACACCCCCCCCTCCCCCTTTTTGCACCAACATTAACGACAAAAAGAAAAGGAGTTTGCTTGATGTTTTAGTGAAATGGACGTAAGATTTTATTCACCACCTCCTCAGCCGGCAGCCGCTCCTGATACGCCTTGTTTGGGACCTTCCCCCTGCCTGGACCCCTACTATTGCAACAAGGTGACTCGTGTTTTGTGTCGTCCGAGGTGTTTTATCTGTGCTGTCGCTTGTGCTGTTGTCGCGGCGCGTTGCATGAAGCGGGCGCTGCGCTTTGGCGAGCCGCGCACCAAGTTCACCGGCCAGGCAGAGGGCACCGGCACTTGCCGGGATTTTGGGGCTTGGGTCTTTACAAACCACAAACGGATGTGAGGCAGGGAAGGTGTTTCTTTGACTACTGAAGTCAGGCACCTCTTTTTTTATTCTTCTCAGTCTTCTTGTGTGTCCCCCTCTCCCCTCGCACCCGCTCGCACACACACTCACACCCCCCCTCCCCCTTTTTTGCACCAACATTAACGACAAAAAGAAAAGGAGTTTGCTTGCTTTCGGAGGAACGGCGTGGACAAGGATGTTGATGCGGAGCACTTGATTTCTAGGGCTCCCTCCCGTTAATGAGGAAAGATCGCGCCCGCCACAAACCGGCAGAAACTCTCTGCCCCGCCGCGTACCCTGCAGTTCATGTGTCAAAGCGGTGCTTGGCCGTGCCGGGAGCACGGTTTGGGGTGTGTGGGTGTGTGTGTGTGTGTGTGCGCGCGTGTGTACGTGTGTGTGACACGTCTCTGTATACACACATCTCTATATATGCGCAATAAGGATGTGCAAGGGTGACAAGTCGGTTCAGAACGGGAGCTCGACTTTGTCCCGGCTGTGCAACTGCCTTAGCGGTTTCTCTGTAACTTGATGAAACCGCTGCAAACAGGGTCGGTGCCTGAGGAGAGCTAAGTTTTAGGTCCCCCAGCCCCGGGGAAGGAGGAACTGCAGAGGAGGCTCGCGCTAGCCCAAATCCTGGGGTAGGTTACGAGAGTTTGGTGCTGCCATTCCGGAGCACTTTGCATGACTTTTGCCGCCGAGCAGGGGGGCTGGGGTTCCCCGCATTGTTCCTGCTCCTGTGGCCTGAGCCCAGCTGGTGCTTTATGCCTGGGCTGCACTTTCTCTGCTGTTACGGAATGGCCTTTGCACATGAATAAAAGCCCGGCCGTAGGAAGTAATCAGGAAGTGCGAGCTTCCCGCAGCACTTCTTGAGCACACCCCCGCCCGGGGCGAGCGCCGCGAGCGAGCGCGTCCCCAAAGATGCGCTTAACCCCCCCGCGCCCAGGCGTTCGCTGAGAAACCCGCCGCGGAAGCCGGCG